AAATGAATCATCGAGATGTTTTTTTGAGAATTTTTTCTTGTGAATCATCTTACAAATGAATCATCTAATGTTTCATTTTGTTTGTTCGCGAAAAAAATATGTAGAAAAATTTTTTTTTACCTTCCTACCAAAAATTTCCTTCTTATTTGATCTTGACAACTTTGATCGTTTTATCTTATTGACGCGGATATTAATTTAACTAATGAATTAGACTAGTAAAATTATATATATATATATATATATATATATATATATATATATATCACATAATTTTATTTTTTCACAATAATTATACATATGAATTTTAAAATTATTTATACATAAGCTATTTTATATAAATTAATATTTTTCAACAAGCTTATCACATACTTTTGACCAGATGTTTTTTTTATCATCTAACAACTAATTTTTTAACTGTTCTTCCAAATATAATCTTACATCTAAATTTTTAATGTCCATTTTTTTAAGTAAAAAATTCATATAAATCAATATGTGTATGAAAACTCTATTTCAAATTGCAGTGAATTTCCGAAATTTGTAGATTTTTGCATTAAAATGTATAGAATTATAAACGAACCAAATTAAAACGAACGAGTGTTTGTTCATGTTCGTTAATTTAAGTCTAACATAACAACAAACGAACATGAACACACAACAAACGACTTATCTTATTCGTTTTCTTTCCTTTAAGAAATTACTTTGTTTATGTTCGTTAATGGACATAAATATACAAACATATATGAAAATAAATGAACAAACATAAACGAACGATTATGTACAAACTAACACGAACAAATATAAATGAACATGAATAAACATAAACAAACATATATCTATTAGCTTAGATAACATTCTCGTGTGTTTTTGACATATATCCACAATATAAACTCCACATGGTCCTATCAATTTTAATGGTCTATACCATCATTGATAACCAATATTAAAAAGATCGCTATGTATCCTATTACCAGATTTAATATAATGTTGTAGTTATCCCATTTTATATGTACCTATGCATAAATTCTCAATATAAAGAACTTATATTTCCATTCAATATCAAATCCTTTTAATTTAGAACCTTTATATCGATCCAAATCCGTTATACTTACATATTGAATAAAATACATGACATTATCTAAAATGTTTATACTCCATACACATACAAATTCAACTATTTACCAAAAAATTAAGACTTGGAATACACTACGTGGAAAATGTTTGTGGATGTTACTGTAACACCCGAAATCTTGAAGAGAAATTGTTGAGAATAAGCTTTATTTGAGTTGAACTCGACGAGTTGGAGGGCCAACTCGGCGAGTTTATGATGGAATATTCGCGGGATTAAATGGGCCAACTCGACGAGTTGAGGTGCCTCAACTCGGCGAGTTGGTGGCTGGGAAGGAAACCCAAATTTTAGGGTGTTGCACCCTATTTAAAGGCCTTAAGCTCGCTTGGTTGGCCTCCTTAGCAGTCTTCATTATTGTCAAAACCCTAAATCAAGTTGTAGCCTCCATTGTCAAACATTTGAGCCTTGGATGAAGTTTGGTGGTTATTTTGGGCATTATGAAGGAGTTACAAGATCTTGAAGTTCTAAGCTTGGAGAATGAAGTCTTGGATCCAGAATATGCACCCATTTTGCAAGGAGTTTGAGGTATCAAGTTCTTATCTTGATGGCTAGATGCTTAGATCTCTCTTTTGGGTTAATTTGTTATGCTTTAGCCATGGGTTGGATGAATGTTTGGATTAGGAAGTCCCAAAGCATTATTCTTTCAGATCTGGGGTTGTCATGGTCTCTTTTGGTATAAAGGTGACAACTTTATGGATTTAAGGACTTCTTGTCTGAATTAAGTCCCTTATTAAGCCCTTCTTGAGCTTTTGAGTTTCTCCTAGGCATGCATGAATGTAAAGTTGGCAACTTTACGTGGTTTTTCAGCTCTAGGGTGTCAGATCTACAAATTGAGGCTTTGTCTTTGGAGATTAAGTGCTTAATGGTTAAGTCATCACTCTTTTAAGTCTAGGGTTTGGGTTTGAACCCATTTCGGTGGTTCCTATGGGTAAAGTTGGAAACTTTACCCTTCTAGATCTCATTTTGGTCGAGACTTGAGCTTTGGAGCTCTTAGATTCGATGAAGGCAACTTAATGTATTAAGTTGTTGAGTCTCGGGCGAACTCGGCGAGTTGGTTGGTCAACTCGGCGAGTTGTTTTGGTTTTCCCCGTTTTCTGAGTTGATGTAGAACTCGACGGGTTGATTAGACAACTCGGCGAGTTGGGTCCATATGGATTATGGATCTTGTCCTTTTGGCTTATGTCTTTGACCAAGTTTTTCTCAAGGGGGTGCTTGAGGTAATCTGAAATGTATCTAAGGAAAATATGGGCTTAGGATAAGGCCCATATGGGATTGGGCCCAATTTGGGAAATTAGGCCATTAGTGGGCCTTTGTGGATCCTTGGTTTTGGGCTTGAGAGTTTGAGTTATTAATGGGCCATTAGAACACAAAGTATTGGACTAAAGAGAATGGTTGGGCCTTAAGGCAAGGTCATGTAAGGGGTTTGGGCCCAATTTGGAAAATTGGGCTAGTGGTTGATTTGTGGGCCTTTGGGCCTTTCAGAGTGTAGTTGGGTCATAAATTTGGACAAGGTTAGGTAGGGGTAAAATGGTCCTTTTACCCCATGCATGGAGTTGTGGTTTGGATTGGAACTCAATTATTAATTGAGTGTCGTTTTGTTATTAATAGTTCGGGGATCAGTCAGCCTGCAGCCAGGAGTTCTCTATAAGATTTAGCAGTGCGAGGTGAGTCTTCTCACTATATCTATGGGTCGAAGGCACCAATGCCGGCCCATTATGTGTTACGTGGTATGCTAGTTGTCTCTGTGATACTTGCATGGAAGACCCCGGGGGGAGCCCATGGCAATTAGATGTCATACCATGAGGGGAAAGTCCATGGCATTCCAGGTAAAGACCACGGGGGGGGGGGGGGGGGGGCAATGACATAATAGATAAAGACCATGGGGGAGCCCATGACACCTATATTTATGTGTGTGATAGTCTGTGATTGTATGTGGTATGGTATTTTGGAGAAACTCACTAAGCTCTGTGCTTACAACTCTCAGTTTATGTTTCAGGTACTCCGGTTTTCAAATGGAAAAGCTCAGGATGATTGCAGAGCATACACCACATGTTTCCGCACATTGTGGATTACTCTGGTTAATTGATGTTTTGCTAAATATTGGTTACTCTAGTTTTGTAAAAACAATCTGTATTAGTAATTTATTTATTTAAAAACAAAAAAAATTTGTGTCGTGATTTTAGGTCGTTACAGTTACATTTCGTCCATCCTCAAAAGAAGGCTTCGTCTTCAGTAATCACTTAAGTGATAAGATGTCAGTATTTGACATGAACTTATCATTCAAGTTTCCATGTAACATCATCCCCAAATGGTGTTGCCATTACATCTTCATTATTCTCACTTCTCTTTTAAAAGTATTTATACATTACGATCGATAATATTTTTGGGTTTGTCAATGTATCAAAGGCTTTCATCAATGTTTAGATCGTTTAAGAAAACTCTCATTGACACATCCAAACTATTTAGACTATTATTAGGTGCGACAATTATGACCAAGTGATTTTTTTCAATTCTATGTTTATGCTATTGGGCCAATCTTTTCCAAATCATATGTTTAATTAAGAGAAAAATGTATAGTTTTATCCTAATTACATATTGTATGAATGTGATTAATCAAAGTTGGTTGTATGATATCCAAATAATCAAGTAATTAGAAACAAAATATATTTATTCCAAATTGTAAAATTGATTATTACGAATGATGTGCATAACTCGATTAACACTGATGGATCATAAAATCAAATATAGACCCATTACATTTGGTTGTATAGTTTTAAAACTATCTTTATTCCGATTCTTAGAGTTTTTAGAAAACTAGCTCTCACATTTAAATATTATTGTAACCGAATCAATCTTTGATTTACTCTTGTTCTAGTTTAGCCAAATATGATTTTGACCTATGTACATCTCTAATTACTATCGCTTCAAATCACAATAATCAAATAACATTTCAAAGGACATACATCCAAATGCCACCGTAGTACAACAATTAGACAAATAACCCTTTTAAAGAAAATCAAACAATGAGGGCATAAAATTAAATCTTGAAACTTTAGACATGCAAAGTGTAAGATTAACAAATTTAGTAAATCTAACGTCTACTACTTAAAAATTGCTTACATAAATCTTTTTTATTTTTTCCTTTTTGAGGAAACAATATTTGCTCATCTCTCTCTCTCTCTCTCTCTCTCTCTCTTATTCCCTTCGTCTCATTCGGTTTCTCTCTCTATCTCTCTCCCTCTCTAGACTCTTTCTCTCTCGCTCTGTTTCTCTCTCTCGGAGAGGACGAAGACGACGAAGAAGACAACAAAGAAGCACAAAGATATGGTGTCAACGCGTCGCAGCGGATCTATATCAAACAACAACAGCAACAACAAACGATCATCGTCTTCCGAACAGAAACCCCCGTCCCCCAAACGCCAAAAGGTCCCAAATGCTCTACCCCCCGTAGTTTCACGCACTTTTCTTCGTCGTTTCTCGAATTTCACCCGTCTTGATTGAGCCTTGATTTAATTTTATGTTCATAGGCTGATAATGGTGGTGCATCGGAGAAATCGACGCCGCAGGAACCTTTGCAACAGCCGGTGGTAGACAATTCGAAAGAATTTAGTTCGCCAACGGCGCTGGATCCACCTGAAAATGCCGCAGCAAGTTATCAACGGAAAGATGGAAGCGCCGAAGGCGAGGCTGTTAGTGCTGGGAAGCCGGAGGCGGCTCCGGCTGCATCCGTCGTCACTCCGATCGCTCAAGGCAAGTTGTTTTTTCGCTGTCTTCTAAATCTATTGCATGCAAATTACTAAAATGTTAGGCTTTCTGCATTGTTAAATCTAATCTGTTGGGTTTGTAGCTGTTAAGAACCACATCTCATGGTCTGAAATTCATGATGAAAATGATCAACTAAACAATAGTGTAGGTACAGAACACATCAGGGTTTAGGATTAGCACACATTCTAAGGAGTGCAGAAGTCAACATGTGTGCTTAACTGTCGATATAAATTTGTTTACCCACAGAAGTCTAATGGGGCTTTTGGGCACTTGTTGAGATATGCTTGTTATGAGTATTAGACATTAGTATTGAAGAGCAAAAGTTTCTTCTTAGTTGGGTATTTTTTATTGGAAAGGGCTTAACCACTTAATGCTGAGGGTTTTTATTGGTTGCTATGAAGCATCGGTGCCCATTTTAGGGGAGAAGCTGAGAAGTTCATTCTCTTCATGGAAGCAGCAAAATCAGAGCTGTGAGATGGCCACACCTTGGTGCAGGCTTCTTGCTCAGAGTCCATCGGTTAGTATAAATCCTTCCTCTTTATTTCAGCAAAGGGATACATAGAGCTGAAAGAAATGTGTTGTTTTTTTTTTTGGCAGAACCAAACCATGACCGTTTATACAGCAAACTTTTTAGTTGGATCAAACAAGAATGCTAATCTTTCCATCAAGGATATAAGCGCTATTCTTTGCACTATCAAGCCTGATGAGGTACTTACTAACTACTAAGTGATATTTAGGGATTCACATGACATTAAGATTAAGCACAAACAAACAGAAGTTTATAGGGGATTCTTGGAGATGAACTCCATATTGTCTACTTGCAGTATGAATACTTACTGTTTGTCGACATGATCAGCTCGAAGGTGGTTCTGCTGTGCTTGAAAGCAAAGGAAGCAAGGGATCTGTGCATATAAATGGGAAGAGTATTAAGAAGGGTACAAACCATGTTTTGAATTCAGGAGATGAAGTTGCTTTTGGTCCTCCTGGGACTCATGCTTATGTATCCTTCCTTTCCAGTTTCCAGTGTTTGTTACTACTACTAGTATTATTATTTTTTCTTCTGGGGTTTTCTTTAATCTTCCTTCCAATAGATTTTCCAGCAGCTAACAAGCGATGTGTTGTTAAAAACACATACATCCAAAACGCTGCATACTGAAAGACGTGCAGGGGACCCATCAGCAGTTGCAGGTGCTTCAATTTTGGCATCTCTTTCAAATCTTAGAGCAGATGTATCTCGTTTGAAGCCTGCTCCTAATCATGATGATGAGATTGATGGTCTAGAAGTGAATTCAGCTACAAATACTGGAAATGATAGTGCATCTGAAATTGGAGCTACCAGCAAGATCACGCCACTTGGCAGCAATCTAGATCCTAGTATTGTTGAAACAGGAAATGTAAAGCTTTCTGTGCCTAATTAACATTATTTCCCAACTGCTGACTGCTGACATCATCTTCTAGTTATTATTTTGTAACTTGATGGAAAATATAATTTTTTGACAGGTATTGGAAACAAGGGATTCACTGCCTCCGGTTCCAGGGATGTCTATAAGATCTGCAATGTTGAAGGAAGAGATTTTTGCAGGGATTATTGATGGGAAGGAAGTTGGAGTTTCTTTTGATGACTTCCCTTATTATTTAAGGTTTTATACTCAATGGACCATTTGTCATGCTATTAAAGGATCTGGCCATGTTTTTCTTATGTCTTTTCTACTTTTTTTATGCAGTGAGAACACAAAAAATGTTCTTATTGCAGCTTCTTATATACATTTGAAGCATAGAGACCAAGTTAAATATGCCTCTGAACTACCAACTGTGAATCCTAGAATCTTGCTTTCTGGGCCTGCAGGTATGTCTTAAATTATGCTTCTTAACAGTTTGGCATCAAATAGAAACTATGAATTTTCCATAAGCCCATTTTTAACTGCTTTTCATTAATCTGTTTATTATGTAGATCTTCAGTACTAATTTCATTATTGTAGCTTCTGCAAATGTTTTAGAAAAGAAATTGAGATCCTAACCTATGCAAAAACAGCCAACATACTGTCATTTATCTGTCTATTATAGCATCCTACTTTCAAAACTGTTTATTACAGCATTCTACTTTGAAAAATCACCAGTTATAGCATTCTGCCTTTTCCTTCCTTTTTATACTTTTGAAAAATCCATCAATTATAGCATTCTACTTAAATAAAAATTCTTATTAAGACAGTAGGATGCTATAATAAGCAAATTAATGAAACTATATTGCTATTGCTTGCATTGTATAAAATGTTTGGAGTTTGGATCTTTGCTACTATGTATTTTCCTTCTGAGTTTTAATCCTCCTTTTCAGGATCTGAAATTTATCAAGAGATGCTAGCAAAGGCACTTGCTCATTATTATGGTGCCAAATTGCTTATATTTGATAGCCATTCGTTTCTGGGTGTAAGATTTCATTATTATTATTATTATTATGGTGCCAAAATGCTTATTTTAAGTTTAGAAACGAGAAGTCATTTGGTGAATTTGTGTTTTAGGGTTTATCACTGAAAGCCGAGCTATTGAAAGAAGGAAGCACTAAGCAAAGCACCAGCCCTAGTGAATTGGATGCTCCGGGGAATGAAAGTGTTTCTGAGCCACAACAAAAAATGGAGGTTGACTTTGTCCCTCCAGTTGCAGGAACCTCTAAAACCCCCACATTCAAATTGGGTATGCATTATGCACTCACTCTCTTCTAATTGCTTATTCTTTTCTTATTCCAGTTCTTACCCGTTTAAATACAAACATGTAGATGACAGAGTGAAATATATAGGTCCTACTTCAGGAGCCATATACTCTTCTTCAAGGTACAATCTGGTTTTCATGTGGTACAATACAACTCTTGTGTTTGTTTCCTAGTTAAAGTTTTGGTTGGTTGCTATGTTTTCTTGACCTAAAGGGGTCCTACTGCTGGAGCTCGTGGGAAGGTTCTGCTACCTTTTGAAGACAATTCTCTCTCAAAAATTGGTGTGAAATTTGATAAAGTCGTTACTGATGGGGTTGACCTTGGTGGACTTTGTGATGGGGGTTATGGATACTTCTGCTCTGCTAATGAGCTTCGATTGGATTCAACTGGGGTTGAAGATCTGGATAAATTGCTCATTACCACTTTGTTTGAGGTATGCTTTGGGCCCCCAAATATATGATTATCATTCCTCCATTTTTATAAGGGTAGATAATGAATGGATTGTTGCTGCAGGTTGTAACCAGTGAGAGTAGGAATGTTCCTTTTATTTTGTTCATGAAAGATGCAGAGAAGTCGATTGTTGGGAGCTCAGAATCATATTCAACATTTAAAACCAGGCTTGAAAAGCTACCAGACAATGTTGTTGTTATTGGTTCACAAACTCATACAGATAGTCGCAAAGAAAAGGTAAAATTTTAGTCCAATTCCTTTTATGTTGTTAAAGTTTTATGATATAATTGCAGTTTGTTTGCTTTTGTTGCAGTCACATCCTGGTGGTTTGCTTTTTACAAAATTTGGCAGCAACCAAACAGCTCTTCTTGACCTGGCTTTTCCGGTAAGGACTTGTTCTGCCTCTACTCCACAAGTTTAAGCTGAAGCCTGAAAATATAGTTTCTTTACTTGAAGACTATTTATATAATAATAATTAATAAGATAAGATAATAAAGGGCATTTATGTAATGGTATTGAGCATGATGTTTATATAATATTCAGGATAGTTTTGGGAGGCTACATGAAAGGGGGAAGGAGGTTCCGAAGGCGACTAAGCTTTTAACCAGACTTTTTCCGAATAAAGTGGCCATTCACATGCCTCAGGATGAGAACCTCCTTGCCAGTTGGAAACAGCTATTGGATCGTGATTCTGAAACCTTAAAGATGAAGGGAAATCTCAACAATCTACGTAATGTGAGCAACTCACACTTTTCATTCCTAATCAATTACTAGTGCTATTACAGGTTTTCTAAAATTAAATTCGATGCCAAATCTTCCTTCCTTTTTAGATTAAAATGGATCTATTATGACAGGTTCTTAATAGGACTGGTTTAGAATGTGATGGGCTTGAGACGTTATGCATCAAGGATCAGTTGCTTACAAACGAAGGTATGTGAATGTAAGATTGATTTTGAGAATCTTGCAAGTGAATTATTATTTAAATAAATATTTTGGCATTATAATTTATATTGAAGGTGCTGAGAAGGTTGTTGGATGGGCTCTAAGCCATCATCTAATGCAGCACGCTCAAGCTGACCCAGAGGCAAGACTTGCTCTCTCAAACGACAGGTACCCTATTATTTAAAACTCACTTACTTAATCTCACTCTTCTGTTTTCCTATATACAGTATGTTTTTTTTGAGCAAATTGTCATGTGGTGTGGGTATTACTATCTATTTCTACCAAAAGGGCCAATGTATTTTATTTTCTACACATAATAGCAACCCAATATATAACTTGAAACTGTAAAATGCTTACAAGTTTCATGTTACATATTGGTATTACGGGTAAGAAATTGTAAGTGCAGTTTTATTACGATATGAGTAAACAATAAATAAGTCTGTGGTTGTTATCGGTAAAATAAGTATAAGTATGTTGCTATCGTGGGTAAAGAAATGTAAATACATGGATGGATACTAGGATAAAAGATAAAGTAACGTATTGATAAAAATAGTATATAATGATAATGTTTTTTGTTGGGAAGCGTAGTAAAGAATATGTAATTGTTAATTTGGCAGCATACAATACGGTATTGAAATTCTCCAAGCAATTCAGAATGAATCCAAGAGCTTGAAGAAATCTCTCAAGGTGATGTTACTTGATGGTTTATAAGAGATTTGGAGTTTATATGAAATTTGCTGACAGTTTTGATTAATATTAATATTGATAGGATGTTGTAACGGAAAATGAGTTTGAGAAAAGGCTTCTAGCGGATGTGATTCCTCCTAGTGACATTGGAGTAACATTTGATGATATTGGAGCATTGGAAAAAGTTAAAGATACGTTGAAGGAGCTGGTGATGCTTCCTCTACAAAGACCCGAACTTTTTTGCAAGGGCCAATTAACCAAGGTCTTCATTTTTAATATATTTGATGTGATTAAAAGAGTTAAAGGGAATTATTATGAAAATAATGAATGTTTTTAAAATTACAGCCATGCAAGGGTATCCTTCTGTTTGGGCCTCCTGGAACTGGAAAGACTATGCTTGCTAAGGCTGTGGCGACGGAGGCTGGTGCTAACTTCATAAATATATCCATGTCAAGCATCACATCAAAGGTAATATACTAATACTACTATTATTTAGATTTAGAAACCAATGACTTAATGATTAATTAAGCATATATATATATATATATATATATATATATATATATATATATATATATATATATATGTGATGTGAGTTTTTGTTTGTTTGTTTGTTTGGTAATAGTGGTTTGGTGAGGGTGAAAAGTACGTGAAGGCTGTGTTTACGCTGGCTAGCAAGATTTCCCCGAGTGTTGTGTTTGTGGACGAAGTAAGTTTGTTTGTGTGATTTGAGAGTAATTGATTTGAAAATAGTGTGGTCTGTGGTGTTAATTTGTATGAATGGGAATGGGGCAGGTGGATAGCATGTTGGGGAGGAGGGAGAATCCGGGGGAGCATGAAGCAATGAGGAAGATGAAGAATGAATTTATGGTGAATTGGGATGGTCTGCGCACAAAAGATACAGAGAGGGTTCTTGTGCTTGCAGCCACAAATAGACCTTTTGACCTCGATGAGGCTGTTATTAGAAGGCTCCCCCGTAGGTAATAATCTCAATCCTAATGCTTTTTCTTTTTTTAATATATAAAATATTGATTAATTTAATGTAATGTGTCTTAGATTGATGGTGAATTTACCAGACGCGGCGAATAGAGCAAAGATCTTAAAGGTAATACTGGCAAAAGAAGATTTATCTCCTGATATAGATTTGGATGCAGTGGCTAGCATGACCGAGGGATACTCTGGAAGTGACCTAAAGGTTTGTTGTCTTTTTTTTTTTTTTTAAATTAAAAATTAATAATGTTGAAGGTGATGATATTTTATTTTATATTGCTTTGCATTGCAGAATCTATGTGTAACTGCGGCGCATTGTCCGATTAGAGAAATCATAGAAAAGGAGAAAAAGGTAGGTACAGACAGTATTTTAGGTACTTTTTAAAACTTAGTTTTTGTGGATGGATTGATATGATATGATATGAATTGGATGAATGATTCAGGAGCATGCTGCAGCTATAGCAGAAGGCAAACCAGTCCCAGCTCTAAGCGAGAGTTCTGATATCCGGGCTTTGAACCTGGACGACTTTAAATTTGCACATGAACAGGTAGGGTAGTACTGTTTACTGTTTATATTAAAAGAGATAATAAAATAGGTTATAATTATTAAAATATTATTGTTGATTGTGGATGATAGGTTTGTGCGAGCGTGTCTTCCGAGTCGGTAAACATGAATGAGCTTGTGCAATGGAACGAGCTGTATGGAGAAGGAGGATCAAGAAGAAAGAAGCCTCTCAGCTACTTCATGTGATAAAATACACATTCTACTACTCATGTTCCTTTGTACAATCATCATCATCAAGTATAGGAGGAGGAGGAAGAGGCTCTTTCTTTCTTTTTTAACTTAAAAAATATTCTCTCTCTCTCTCTCTCTCTCTCTCTCTCTCTCAAGTAGTGAGTGGTCTCGGTCTCTGTGAGATGGTTGGCATAAAAGGCTGCATCATCATAGTTATCATCAGCTTTTGTTTTGTTTCTTTACCCCATCTCCATCTCCATCTCTTTTTGTCTTTTTTGGTTTATTTATTTGACACCAACTGCTGCTGGATAGGAATAAAAGTTATATCAATCAGTCAATCAATCAATCTTGTGCATATCTATATCCATATCTTTATTTATTTATTTGATTCAAGTTCCATTAGTACAAGGATAAAATAAAAAAAGTGTGGCTCAGGTCGTTTGGTAAAAAACTGTTTGATTTTCTTCAATTATATCCTACGTTTTCATTTTGGTTTAATACAATAATACTCGACTATTGTCAAATATATACACAAGTTTAAAGTTAAATAAAATATTGCTTTCGTAAGTCAACCCTATTAGTATGATAACGTCGTTTTGGATTCTTATTTACCAAACAAATTAAGCAGATTGTTCTTAAATACGACTTAAATATATTTAAAAAAATCGATAACTGAATTTGGTGTATCACAAAATATGGTGTTATATTAACATCAAATTTGTTTTTAAAGTTTCATTTGTATTTTATTTTATTTTATTGGTAAGAGAAAACAAGCCTCATGTAAAATATATAAAACACTACAAATGATTCGCCCAAGCCCAAAAGCACCAAAGTAGAAGAAATAGGGAAAAAACTAAAACTGTAACTATATCATCATTGACCAACCGTTTTAAGCCATGCCATTGGAAGTTTGCTCAACCGAAGTTGGAAGAACAACATGGATAGGACACGAATAGTGGTCATGGCCAAATATATTGCATTGGTCACATCTCTTAGGTCTCCAAGTAGTGGTGGTACCTTTGGGAGTATTGACCTTTTATTTTGATTACATCATTCCAAACTTACTTAGCCAACATTTTACATTTCAATAAATAAGGAAAGCATAAACCTGCAGCAAATTTCACATCTAAATGTTGTATAAGAATCAACCTGGAATGGGTTTCCAAGCTTTTTACCAATGCGTCCTTATTGGAAAGTTGAAGTGGGATATAAACGTTCACCAAACCGGAACCCTATCATTTTGAGGGAGGTTTCCAAATCCCATTGTCTATTGAGAATGGGAGTATCTTTTATACTCCAAAGACCCTTCTCAAAAACATGTTGTAAACCTTTGTCATTGTCAAATTACAAGGAAAATACATCTTCATGATTGACAAATATATCATTTAATCCGTATCTTTTGATTTGTTGAAAGCATGATAATTGACCATATGGAATGAGAGTCTATCTCCAACAAAAAAAAATGTCATAGAAAGTACGAGCAGTTACCCTGTCAAGAGAAAATAGAGGCCCAACAAGAGAAATTACAAATTACAAAGCCCACCCACCTTCAAATCTGAAACGGTTAAGTTTTAATAGATGGTTTAAACCCTATTTTTGTATAAACCCTAGTCGTCACTACAAACTGTCCGATAATTGTGCGTGCGTGCGTGCGTGCTAGCTAAGGAGATACGCCGTTGACCATGGCTCACTTGCAGGTCACCACATCTGCAGCAAAACCCCTTGTTCCTGTTCCAAATCGGGGTAGTCTTTTTTTCTAGTTGTTGTTTCGATATAGACAATACCAGTTTGTGAAATGTCTTTTGTTTTATGATAGAGTGTAAATTAGGGGCTAAATCAAGTGAGTTTGGTGGAGTGGCATTTGTTCATCATAACACTAGGAATCTTTCTCAGGCCTGTAAAAATCAAGGTATTTTAGCTTAATCACTTCACTATGTCGTTTTGGCATCTTCTAAACCTACACGTAGAATTTGATCATCGTGTGAGATAAGAAGAGTGAACTAAGAATATTTGTACTAGGGTTGTTTGGATTTGATTCAAATAGTCGTATTTTGGGGTAAACTGTTGTAACCATTGAGATAAACGTAAAATCGCCTAACCATCCCAATTCCCAAATTTTAATAAATTAATTATTTGAATCTGATTCAAAGTTTCTAATCGCCACAATTAGTTTGTAAACACACTTCCAAACACCCCTTCAAAATGTTGTTTTGTTCTTGAGCAAACCCTGTCAATTTCATTAATATTTTATGGTGTTAAATTGCTTAATATACGGAATGTGGTTGATGGACAGCAATTCAAGCAGTTTTGGCCAGTGATAAGGAAACAGATGCATCAAGTGGAACTAAAGAAAGGGGTCTTCGTGGCAAATTGAACAAAGTTGTGTTAGCTTATAGTGGTGGCTTGGATACCTCCGTCATTGTTCCTTGGCTAAGGTACATTACATTACATTTTACAACATACATCCAGTTCAGGATTCCTTACTTAACCCATTATTAATACTAATAGACTTGATCCAATCTTGATAGACAAATTTGAGATTTCTGTTAAGTTCTAAAGGTTTTTTCTTGTAGATTTTTAACTACAAGATGCTAATCTTGAACACATGCAAAATGTTTTTTTAAGGTTTTCCATTTCATGAGGAAGAGAATGCTTTATTATATATATATATATATATATAGACCTATCTACATTTTATTCATAGATTACATCCGATATCTTCTAGTAACTTGGTAAAAATGTTGCAGGGAGAATTATGGATGTGAGGTTGTCTGCTTTACTGCAGATGTTGGTCAAGTAAGTTTTTTAGTGTATTTGGTAATCAGTTGGTTTGATTGGCAAGAAAAGTGTTATCCTTGCTTAAATGCAGAAAAAGAACACCACTCTGAGCTAATTTTGACAGAATATTATGCTTATTTTTGCATCTACATATCAAGTTTTTGTCTAAAGTCATAAAACCTGGCAACGCATAGTGGCTAGTGTAAAGAAATAAAAAAAGTGTTGTTTAATGTATCAGAGAGGGAGATAACCCCTAAAGAATACAATATCAGCTAAACAAGCCTTCACATTTTCAATGATTTCTACTTCATTTAGGGGATATCAGAATTGGAAGGTCTGGAAGCAAAAGCTAAGGCTAGTGGTGCATGTCAATTGGTTGTGAAAGATTTGACAGAAGAATTTGTGAAAGATTATGTATTCCCTTGTTTGAGAGCTGGAGCTGTATACGAGAGAAAGTACTTATTGGGAACTTCAATGGCTCGACCCGTTATTGCAAAGGTTAACTAAGAATAGTTAATGGGTAAATAAGTAAATTGTTATCTAAAAACCTTCCAAAATTTGAAAAAATGTTGTGATGAACATTTACAGGCTATGGTGGATGTTGCAAAAGAAGTGGGAGCTGATGCAGTTGCCCATGGATGCACAGGAAAGGGAAATGATCAGGCATGTTTAAGATTATGATTTTCTTTTTTCTTTTTTCTTTTTTACAATAAAGACATAATATTAAATTTTATAAATTTTTACAGGTGCGTTTTGAGCTGACATTTTTCGCTCTGAATCCTGATCTCCAAGTTGTGGCTCCTTGGAGAGAATGGGACATAACAGGGAGAGAAGATGCAATTGAATATGCCAAGAAACACAATGTCCCTGTTCCAGTCACAAAGAAATCCATCTATAGTAGAGACAGAAACCTATGGCATCTCAGTCACGAGGTAACTATATATCTTTATGTGTCAAAAAAAAAAAAAAAAAAAAAAATCTTGATCTGATTGTTTTTTGTTGTTGTTGTTGAAGGGAGACATCTTGGAAGACCCCGCAAATGAACCCAAGAAGGATATGTACATGATGTCTGTTGACCCCGAAGATGCCCCTGACAAACCCGAGTAACATTTTTTTTTTCTCTCTAAATTTAGATTTTCATGTGTATAATAAAATTATAAATTGTTTTTCTAACTTTGTAATACTATTAGGTACCTGGAGATTGGAATTGTCTCCGGAATCCCCGTTTCCATCAACGGAATCGAACTTTCCCCCGCGACTCTCCTATCCCAACTCAACGACATCGGTGGTCGTCATGGAATCGGTCGAATCGACATGGTGGAGAACCGTTTGGTCGGAATGAAAAGCCGTGGGGTCTACGAGACCCCCGGTGGGACCATCTTAGCCGCAGCATGTCGTGAACTTGAGTCCCTCACACTCGATCGAGAAGCCATCCAATTCAAAGACATCATGGCCCTCAAATACGCTGAGTTGGTGTATGCGGGTCGGTGGTTCGACCCGCTCCGTGAGTCCATGGATGCGTTTATGGAGAATATTACCAAAACGACCTCGGGCTCGGTGACACTTAAGTTGTATAAAGGTTCAGTTATTGTGGCTAGCAGGAAGAGTCCGTTTAGTTTGTATAGAGAGGATATTTCTTCGTTTGAAAGTGGCCAGATTTATGATCAGGCTGATGCTGCTGGCTTTATAAAGTTGTATGGGCTGCCTATGAGGGTCAGGGCCATGCTTGAAAAGGAGCTTGGGAAAAATTAAAATCTATTTCTTCTTGCTTTCTCTTTGTTGCTGAATTAGAGATTTTTGTGGGGATTTAACATTGAATAAATGTGTTTTGAAGCTTTTTGATTTTGGGTTGATTATGCTATATTATTGTTTTAGAAGATTATTTTATTTGCGTATGTTTTTTTTTTTTCTAAAAGAAGCATTTATGAGTTGTATGTTTTTTTAGTAGTAGAGATAGTGATTTGGGACAAAATGACCATGGAATGAACAATAATTGATATGGTTCTAAAAGTATTGAGTACATATAATTGATAAATTATTTCCGTGGGAGTATGTATATAAGCTTAAAAAGGTGTTTTATACTTTAAAATTAACAAGGTATTTGTATCTTTATGACTACTTGAGACCATACACTTTAGATGTGATGCTGGAAAAGACATGTTATAATTTTTGATCTATTTTGTAAATAAGTTATTGTGCAAACTTTGTAAAGTAACAAGGTGTCAATGAGACTTGCATACTTGCAAGATATTTGCTCCTAACACTAAATCATAGGTTGTAAGTAGCGCCAACATCATCAAATACAGTTGATTTTTCTGATGCTCTGTCTTCTTGTTAACTCTACTCACTTGAAAGATTGATCCTTTCACATTTCTAGGTTAGACCAATTCTCACTGGCATTTGTCTTCTTGTTAACTCTACTTCTTTTTCAGTAACGTGATGCTTATTAATTAGCTTCTATACACTGAGAATCATAGTTTGCCTTATCAAAGATTTTTGCATTCCAAAACACACCTTCAGATACCTCATGAGTTTCATATTTTGTCCTTGTGATGAAAAAGGCTTTGATGTGTACAACTTGTGTTTAATATGAGGCTTGATTTCGCCCCTAAATTGTTCTACGACTTTGTAGATCCAAAATATGAAACCATGTATCACTATAACATTGTTGCATAAATAAGCATTTAAAATTTAAATCAGTGTCATGGCATAAGGTAATTGGTTTCCAATTATAACATCTCCCATTGTTAACATTTCAAATGATTTCTATTTTTAACACATTCTTCAATAGATCAACCTTTTTAAAAGCTTTTTCTTAAAATCAACTAAATTAAACTCATCTATCTTAAATGTCTTATAAAGCTCCTCAATCCTCATCTACATTGTCCTTTTTTAAGTGCACGTCATATATAACAAACTAATTATACTCATCTATTATGACAAACCTGCTTGAATACATTCATTTTTATCTTGTATATTTAATAAAATGATAAAGGTTTACCACGTAAATGCAAGTATGGTGTTAAATAAACTTTTATTAAATGTAGAAATTAAATAAAAGGAATAAGTAGTTATAGATTTCCAAGTGGCAGAAGCCATAAAAAACATTCAAATGGTAAAAAGGATTTGCAATGGGTTGTACAACTACTAAAAAAGCCATAAAAAAGTGACAATTAGAGATGGTTCTTAATATGTTGCATATTTTAGTTGACAAGTATATTATTGCTTTTAGCAGACTATTTGAGTGTCTTTTTTTTCTAACAAAAGAATTTATCAGTTGCTATGTTTTAACTTATATCAGTGGTAGAGATGGTGATTTCTGACTCGTTTATTAGTTATGTTTTATTTTTAACGGGTTTAGTTGTTATAATAAAAAAATAGCTAAATTGTTATGCAAAGTTTTTCAATATATTTAACATTTTTAATAATATAGTTTGTGATCACATTTAAACACTAATTGTATACAAGGAGAAAGTTAGACAAAATGTTTTAGGCAACCAAGCCTGACTTTACAAGTGTAGGCAATTACAGTACTTTTGCTTATTTCTAATCGGATTCAGTAACATATTATATGGTTCGTTTGGGACAAATGACGATGGAATGACTGTCATCACTAATTTGATTAAAAGTGTTAGGAAAATGACTTGATTTATATGATTTTGAAAGTTATAAGTATACATGATAGATAAATTAATGTTATACATCGTTAGCTTAAAAGCTAACAAGGTTTGAGACTAATATGACAAAGAATATATATTTTGTAAGTAGTTAAGTTAAACAATATATTTTAAATTAAGTGTAGTAGAAAGTTTGACAAGTATTATTTGGTAAACAAAATAAATTTTAACTTTGATTGGTTGGAGCTCTTCAAGAAGAAGAGACTCTCCAAAAATAGGCGTATGCCACTATAGACAACGCGCACACGGTATTCTTTAGTAAAAGGCGAAAGAATAGTTCGCTTTGTGCTCACTGCATGGCTGCGTGCCTTTCTCTTCTCCAGTTGCTTGGTTTATATAATCACTTGGAAGCCTTTTGTTTCTTCTAAGCTGAAGATGTGGGATGAACCCCATACTTCAATTAAATTTCTCCTCCTCGGCCTTTTTCCCTTCTTTTACCTTGAATTCATTTTGGTTTTCTTTTTCTAAACAAGTGTTTGGAAATGCATTTTCAGAAAGTAATTAGGGGATATCGGGTATTCAAAATAAGGTATTCCACTAATAAGAGTAAAACTGTAAAAGCCTTTCATCATGTTACTTTAAACCTCGGTGTAAATATATATATATGTAATATGGTTTTACTTTTTGTATCAGTATTCAGTAATGTGATGCTTATTGTTTTGACATATGAACCATAGTTTTCTTTAAGGCTACCCGGAGTGGAAGCAGAAAGACGTGTGGGAGCTGACGTGTCAGCCCCCTTCACGCGTGAACACCGCCCCACCTTCTGGTGGGTTTCTTGTTCCGTGGAGCTGGAGACGGACGAAGACGGGTGATTTGATTGGGGGAAGACTTTTTTGACCGTTGTTGCGCTCTTGACCGTTTGTAAAAAAAAAAAATTAATTAATTAATTAATTACTAACAATCATTTCTCTATATATATCAACATATTTTTACATTTCAAACACACAACAAACTTTGAACACAAACACATATACTCTCATTCAAAAAATACACTTTCCTCCATGGATCCAAACCAAAATAACTCACCCACCCCGAACACCCCAAACACTCCAAATGATCTGTTAGCGAACATTGGCTATATGCAATTGTTATCATCCCCCGTTCAACAACAACCTCTATTCACCAATCTTTCATACCACCCACACTACTACCAACAACAATCACCACCACAATTTGTTCAATCCCAATTTCAACCGTTTCAACAACAACCTGCTCCGCGATTTCAGCCCCAAACTTCCCAACATCCACAACCAAGTTTACAACCATCTCAAGTTCCATTATCGCAATCTCAACCCGTAAACCTCGACATTGAAGACGACGACGAACGGG